GTAATAACCAAACCAGCGGCACAGTAAAGTCATTCTTACAGCATGCTAGATATTACTCCTGACAATAAACCTGAAACAAAAGGAGAGACTGTGAGGAAGATGCTTTGAGGCTATAGAATTCAGCACTTGGAAACGAGTATGTTATGTATTGCAAAAATACCTTTTATATATTAACGCCTGCAGCCAAATAGTAAGCTGTACTGATCTGTCCATTGCTATCCAAAGGGAGCATGTCTCTCAAAAGACTCTATGTTTTTCATAGCACACCAAGCCATGTCACCTGTCAAAACAAATCCATCTTTTATGGACCAATACCTAGCACCTATCAAGTCAAATAAACTATGATCTAATCAAAACAGATATATTGACTATGCAATGAAACAAATCACCTATCAAATCAGACACTGAACAAACTTTAAGATACCTACAAGAGGCACAGAATTTTTTGCTGTGACAAGTCTTCTGCTCTAAGGTTTAGCGTTTTGTTCTAATCTTAAACAAACCCTTAACTGTTTACTCAAGGTTAGACTTGACTGGATAAAAGAAAAATCCTTTTTTTTTTTTTTTTTTGTAACCTAACATGCAGTGAGAAGTGTTTTTCATTCCATTTATAACTATCCCATAAAAATAGATATATAATTGAGAGGCATTGTTTTTCTACATGGGATTTGTATGGTAAACAATATTGTGATGAGTATTGCAGAATCCATCATTGCTTGCCAATACTAACCAACAGGACAGGGTGAAGATGACTTCCACGTCACAAGTTGCACTTCACAACTCTCAACACTCCTACTGAGTACCTGATTCTGTTATGCTCTTCCCTAACTGTCTCTTCCCCAGGCAGAAAAAGCTGAGCTCTTTCAGCCTTTCCTCATATACCCTGTGCTTCAGAGTCCCCATATATCCTGGAAAACCTCTACTGAAATCTCTCCACTCCTACATGACCAGGTGTCTCTGGCGGAACCCAAAACTGGATGCAGGACTCCAGAGGTGATCTACCCTGAGCAGAACAGAGGGAATAGGCCATTTCTCCCAGCCTGTTTGTACACTTTTGCATTAGCAAGCCTAGGATACGGTTGCCCTTCTTCTCTGCAAGGGCAATCTGCTGACTCACAGTGAGTTTGCTCTCTACCAGGGCCTGCAGGAGCCTTTCTACAAAGCAGTCTTCTCAACAGTCAGTCCCCAGCCTGTACTGGTGCAAAGGGTTATTCCTCTCCAGATGCGGGGCTTTATATTTGCATCAGGAAAGATAGGGGAAAAAACAGTTTCATTTGAGGTAAAAGAAGTGTTTTCACTTTTTATACATTCTATATCAATGACACATGTTTGAAATACATGGGAAGCAAAAATACACATATCATACAGTATCATTACATCATATGTTTGCCTCAACCACTTTAACACAAAAACTGTAATCAAATTATTCATGGTATCGTTGTTAAAGGTATGTACGTGAATATGAGCAGTATGGACTGCTACTGTCCAATTAACAGAACAATCCCCTCTATGGACTGTTTTATGGAGGATTTTATTTCTTTCCATATCAGTCAGTTGGAATTTAGAATATTCAACATTCTAAAGTGGATTATATCAGAGGTCTCTCTGAACTCATGTCTTTCTGAGAGGTGATAGTCAACACACATTAGTCTCCTTTCAACTCTTAGTCTCAGAGAAACTCTCAGTTTTCTTTTTCGTTGTTTACTTATGAACCATTTCCCCTTGAAGACCTAAGGAATGGGATCTTAATCACTGAAAAGCCAACTTGATTTTTTAGTTCTGTTTTGGTCTGTCTCTCTAGCAGAAACTCTTAATAAACTCCCAGTTTCCATAAAGGGAATAGTAGGCCACAAATCTTTTCTCTACAGGGAGAACTGTGACAGATTGAAAGAGTAGTCATAACTGTCCTCCCCTCATAAACCACAATAAAACTACAGTAAATACTCCACTCCGAGTACTTTCAGTGCTTGTTTGGTAATACTGATTCATGAACTAAAATATTGTCTCGCTTACCAGTAAATCCAGTCTAATTTGCTTCTGGTCTCCACAGGAGTAGTAGAGAGATTTTGCCTTATTTCAAACATAGATCTTTTATTCAGAAGACTGAAAACCTACATATATAGCATTATTTTTTAAAAATATTGTTTTTCTCTACTATTTATAATCAAAAAAATAGAAAGCACCACCTCAGGTGAGTGTTTGCCTTTCTGCATCCTTGCACTCTCTCCTAACTCTCTGGTGTTTGCAAAGAAAGGAACACTTCTTGGATCACCTTTCTAATTTCCTTCACCCAACCTCTGTAGCTATCTTTTAAATGATATTAATACAGTAACCAGGTCAAAATACCGTTACAAGAACTGCTACAGACCATCTACAACAGAGGTTGCAATTCTATTACCATGGGATTTACATAGTTCTCCCATAAAGCATTAGTCGGACAGCTGTATTAAAAAATCCATTCACAAGAAACATCTGTTGCTTCACCTTAGCTAGTTTCTTGCACTATGACCTATTCCATTATCAACTATTAACTGCAATTATTTGAAATTAGTACTGAGCTTGTCCTCCTAGTATAAGCCATTTTGAAATCCACTACTTTGGATCTCAGACCTTTCAGTATATTTGTTCATATCCAAGACTTTGATGATCACAGCCCGCTCACAAGATTACCCACTGATTTACTTGGAACATAAAAATCATTTTCATAGAGATCAAAGTGTGTTTGCAGACTATTTCTCAAAGAATACATCAGCCCTGATATGTGCTTCAGTGTTTGTGCCCCTCTCCCACAGTCTGACAAGCATTCATTGGGGGATCCTAGTGTTGCAATCCTGGATAGTCAGGGCTTTTATATTAAGTATTCATTGACATAGGAACTAGAAATGAGGTCTCTACCCTCCCAGGGAGTGCTATAATCACTAAACTGTAGATTTATATTGACTCCCAAACACTCATAGGGCAAGCTGATACTCCCAGAGACGCAGAAAGAACAGGCCAGAACAGACCATCCCTGCTGGTCACGGAATGCTCCAGGGAGATGCATAATATGCACTTATTCCAGCAACCAAGGAAGGATGTGTTCTTTGGGTGGATTTCAGGAAAAGAAGAAATTATCGATCTTTCATACAGCATTTCATCTGGTAGGAGCAGGTTGAAACAGCTAAGAACAGCTAAGCCCTCTGACAGACACGGACACATCTGGCTTGTGAGTCCATGTAGGAACCGGGCATCAGACTGCTCCACTCTGTCAAAAGAGATGTGTTTCAGCACATATCCAGAAAAAGATTTTTAGGGAACTTGCCTAACAGTTTCCTAACAGACAGATATTGAAGTGTTATGTGGAATCTGGGTGTTAAGGGTCTACATTTTGGATATGGGTTGATGTCAGATAGTGTTATATCTAAGCCTGTGTCTCTCGTTTATGTTAGAATTTCCTGAATATTTGACTAAATTATTCTGGGTGGCCGTTCTCTACTTTTCCTGAAAATGGTCCATGTGAAAAGAGCTCAAAGCAAGGAGAGAGTGAGCATGAAAGGGTGCCTGACTAAGGTCAGATAGGCCAGGATTTTAGTCCTTGGGCTAAGGACTGCTTCTATATTTTACGCAACAGTCCCTGGACGTTTTCAGAGCATGGCTCTGCACAGTCAGCAAGACGGAGCAAGACAGCAGAGCCTCAGGGCAGAGGATTTCTGGCAGCCCCACGGGGCTGCTGGCTCTTCTGCATCTTTTCCTGCAGGGCATGTGTTCCCCTTGTGCCATATGAGCAACCCCTGACCTTAGTCTGGGTTTCCAATCCAATAAATGAGCTAAATATTTTAAATAACGCTCAGACTCTAATTGCTTTAGCTCATTTTTTGCTGAAGCCTGAGACAGCTGTTCTTAAAGTGGACAGATTGCTGTTGACTGCGTGATGGCAAAATCAGGCCCTTAAATGGCTGGACTATGACCTATTCCTGAAGGTGATCACATGCTCTTATTTCATTCGGATATAAGGATTTTTTTTTTTTTTTAAATGAAAAGAAAGAGGCATTCCTCATTTGTTCAGTGCATATTATATATGCCACATATCTACAAACACAGTAACAGCTTTAAAACACCAAAAATCAGTTATGCTGACAAATATGAACTACACTAAAATAAACAGATTTAAAAATAAGAGCTGCCCACTATTTTTTTTTTTAGGAAGAAAATGCTGAAGGCTATGAAAGGCTATATTTAAATAGATATCAGTACACTTTTTTTTTTTTAACAATAAAATGTAAGCCCGTAGTTGTATTTTACTATATCAATTCATACAATAATTACAACCTATTTATAGTATCTATTTAACATTCTATATTAAAATATAACATTAATATATATTACACATTTATATTTTAGGTTACTCACTTGAGTAGCTTCTTAGAAAGGTGATAAATCAATTTGTGCCTCCACTTTTCAAGAATTTAGGTCCTTTTTCAGGTACCTCAGACAGGCATCTTTAAATCCTCGATTCCTTCAGCAAAATCTGGTACGATAAGAGGGTGGGCTTGCTTAACACACCAGTGCTATTATTAAAGCAGGAGTTTGGTTATGGAAGCAAGACCCACAGCTGAGGGCCTTTTAACAGAAAGTATCCTGGAGAAAAGGATTGAAAGCTTGTCAGATTTAGCAGCCCAGGTTTCATCAGTTGTCAAACGCTGTTGTAAGGAAGCCCACTTAGAAATGCCACGGGATAGAGCAGACGCGTAGGTGTTCACTGCATGCCAGAGCCCGTTTTGTTTGCTGTCATTCTTCAAAGTTGCCCATTAAGTGACTGCAATCACAGCCTTCTGTGAATTTATTTCTAGGTACTAAAAAGCCTTATTTCTAGATATTAAAAAGCTTTTATTCATCCAAGCAATATATTTATATTGCCATTTGCCAAAATATATATCTCACACATTTTATGATTATAATTTAAAATATCAATAAAGCAACAGCATTACTGGACCCACAAAAACCATCAGACCCTCAAAAAAAAAAACGGCAAACCTAAGAAAAAGCAGCATAAATGTACATTTGATTCAGGCTTAATATATCTAAATAAACATGGAGCCAATTGGTAATGCAGATTACATTTCTTATTTTTCCATAATATTTTCAGGTACATTCTTATTCTCTTCATGGCCAGGAAGCTCACAGCAGTACAAGGTGAGGCCATCAATCTTACCCTCACTCTTGTTTCTGGTGTTTGCCTTGGGTGTTTCCAATGGACACTATGAATAACAGCCTGGTAACATGCAAAGCAGCAGTCCTGCAATGTTTTTAGTTCAGCAGGAGAATCTGCCCAGGGTACCACAGCAGGGTATCAGTAACACAATTTCTTCAAGACAGCTGTATCACATGCATGGCTCATCCCACTCTCATGCACCCTATCCATCCCACTCTCATGCAGTTACAAATGCAAACTTTTGGTGATGCAGCCTGAAAAGAATGCTGAAAGAAGCACTTCTAACGACTCATGCTGGATACTGTCAACGTGCTAAAGCTACTTCTTTGTTTTTGATGCTGGTTTTCATGTATTCCTGCAGGCGCACAGAGCATTACAAGCTGTATCTGGGATCGGGAAGAGTAGCCACGTGCATCTACTCCCTGAAGTCATCTCATTCTTCAGTGAGCAAGTTCTGTCACAGCTTGTTTCCTACAGAAAAAAATATAGACAACAAAAGCATTTAGTATTCAAACACTAAAAGTCTATGAGTCAGTACTGCAGTTTAAATGTCAAAGATTTTCTTCAGCCTGGTTAAAACTAGAGAGCCAAGATAATATATTTTTGAAAAAAAAAAAATATTTCTTCCTTTCTATCCCAGTAACAAGGATTGCAACCCCTAACACAAACACAGATGTACAAGGCACTAAAATTTCTTCATGGCCTACAGGAGTTGTTAATTCATTACAGCTGTTTAAAATTAACCTTTTAGCCCAATAAGTCCAGCTGTGCTTTTAGACCCAGCAAGTATGCTGTGCTGTTATTCTTTCTCTAAAACCCAGGATGTCTTCTGAAGCCAATTCTCACCTTTCTGACATGATAGCACATTAAGAAACCTTTATGAGCATTTATGAAACAGGCAGGAAATGAGAGGTAAAAAATGAAGTTATTTCAACAATGTTTACATATAAGATTCCTGGCTTTAGGGATTTATCTATCTCTTAGCCAGCAACTCAAGAAAGTTAATTGCCTTGGGGATTCTTTCTAATGTGATGTAATGTTTCTGCAGTACTTGCAGAGGCTGTGTCCAGGCTTACAGGGCAGGAGTTGCAGGTGGATTGTGCTTTTCTGGGGCTGGGCACTCTCCTGTGCTCAGGTAAGCTTCTGTGCATGAATACTAACACAAAAGGGGTGATATGCGTTTTGTCCAACCCTAGAGGAAGGGCTGCATGGACATACCCTGAGATGTAGGTACCTGCAGAGAGCTCCCTCATCTGCCATTACAACCAAGTAAGAAGAGCAAAAAGCCTTCCTTGCTTCTTGATGCTCACAGGTGGAGTACCTCAGGAACAGACTGTTATTTACCCAGTATTATTTCACCCATGGAGAACTAGTTTTCTCTCTGTGGAGCAGTCATCAAGCCTTTAACGCAATATTTGAACACAAACAACATGTGTAGACTGTCCAAAAAGTGATCAGCACTGACCGTTTAACAAGATTTAGTGGAAGGGGAGGGGGTATGGAAAAGGCAATAAAGTGGATAATATCCACACTCAGAAAAAGTCAGTTTGTTAACAACAACCATGGAGATGGCACAAACAGAACAAGTAAATATATGCTATATTATAAAGAAAAGTACAAAATATAATTATTTTAGAAAGTCATAAAAGAAAAAAGTCCAATACTTCATGAAGTCTGTTAGAGACTACTATTGCTATTGATTATATACAGTAAACACAACAATAGAGCAGCAATAGACATGGATAGTACAATAAAACTTCCAGGCAGACAAACAAATAGTAGTCTGTAAGAAACCGTTTACACAGAAATTGAAAAGCAAAAGCAGAGGTGAGAACACTGCAATGATGCAAACTTCACTGAAGGTATGAGACAAGAGGAAAAATATTAAAGAACTTATTGCAAAATAAATGTTAAATAAGGAAATATCAGGTTTGTAATGGTGCTCCAAGCAAGTACCCTTGTAGGACTCCTTTCCTTATAGGAATCTCTTTCTTTCATCTTTTTTTTTTTTTTTTTTTTTACATATTCATTTATTATTTCTTACTATTCTTTATTCTTCCTTGGTTTGTACTTTTTTTTAAAAAAATCTTTACAGTTTACAAAAAGTTTACAACATTTTACAGTTGTAAAGAAATGTTTTTCCCAGATCACAGCAAGGAGTCAAAACTCTCCTTCATCCTTGCTTTTTGAAGTGAATCCTGTTGGTCCATTATACCTGAGGGCAGAATACTAAAAATAATAATATACCTTAGCTGAAGTTTTAGGGATGAATACTACACCAGATGAGATTATTCTGTTTTCTTCTATATTCTACTTTCGCTGTACATCCCAAGCAGACATTTTGCACTTTTGCAATAGTTTGCCATTGTTGACCAAAGGCCAGCTATGACCTATAGTGGCCCAGATTCTTTTCTTCAGGACAAGCTCACAGTTATTCCCTGTCCTTTATCTATGCAGGAGATTGATCCCTACCTATATATCATGTCTTCACCTTCTTTTTAAAATAGGATGAAGAGAGAAATTTTTCCAATTTGTCAAAGATTCTGAATTCTGTTCATGTCATCCAATGAATTCACTGTCCCTCTTCATTTAGTGACCTTTACAATATTAATTCAAGAACTGACTACCTCCAACTTGTAGTGAAGCTCACACAGCTGAGAAATGAAAGTAACATTGGACCTGGACTTGTGTGATAGGAAACTGCTCACTCAGGTTCCACGGGGGCCCAATGTATACAGGGGTCTAACACTTTCTCCCCCCACCACTCTGCCTTTTTTTTTTTTTTTTTTTTTTTTTAAACCTAGTTAGGGAACTTGTCTTGTAACTCGATGCTTAAGAGAAATTTTTAAAAACAGCATTAAAGTCTAACTTCCCTAGAGTCCCTCATTCCAGAGATGTATCTCTAAGGAAGCTAAGCTCTTCATCTGGCTATAAACAAACCTGTTCTCAAACGCCACAGTCAACACTGAGCTAATTACACAGCTATACCCAGCTGCATTAAGTGCTCTGCTTACATTTTTTCTTCCAAGAGGATTTAATGAGGTTTCAACCCAAAAGCAGGAATCGAAGGTGGGAAATTCGGAGCCAGAGCTTCTCCTGGGCTGCTTCTGCCCCCTCGCGACTGCGCTGACCCGCTTTGCACGGGAAGACACTGGAGAGTGTCTGGCCCTACTGCAAGGCAGGGACAGGGTCGAGTGCTGGGGCCAAGGCAGGGACTCCCACTCCTGCTGCGCAGCAGGAGGCAGAGCTTGTGGTTTTATTTACAAAGGAAGATGGAGGAAAAATATGACCAAGAGAAGAAAAGCACACCCAAAAGCATTAACATGCAACAAGACTCTGATTTAACCTGAAAATTGTTATTTTCCCCCCCTGCAGCAAAAGGGCAGATGTGCTTTTACTGGCTCTTTCAGACACTGGGAAAACTGGGTCATGCACATTTTCCTTGCTATAGCTGTCTTTATGGTCACAGCAGCTTTCAATGCAGAGCGTTTCCATAGGCTTGCTGATCAGTACCAAAAGCTCACGTATAAACCGAGCCCAGGCTGTTTTTACGTTCCAGAAAGTCTCTCTTTACGCTTTGGCTCACGCGTTTGCTCAGCTCCTGCTTACACCAGCTTTCTCATCAGGATTTCTGGGGAAGGGCTGTTTTCCGCCTCAGGCTCCACTGCAGTGGCTGAAGGAGGCCAAACTGCAGTGCTAGAGCACACCAGCTTCAGAAAACCCTTCACATATGTATATATGTATATATATAAACATTTACATGCCTCTATCCTTCCTTTATTCAGTTGCAGTGCAATTAGCTTTCACATGCATAAATACAGATACTAGAGAAGATAAGCTACTTTAATACACCAGATTCCTGCTAAACCAAGTAGGAAAGTAAAAGTTAAGCATTTTTTTCTGAGGCAGAATTTCTTTATTTTCCCCCAGTTACTGCTGGAGAGAGCCCTCCTGCCCTGTGTTGTACACAGGTAGGATTTCAGAGGCAAGATAGATTTTTTTGCATAAACACTAGTCTCGTGGTCTTTATGTAAGCTTTTTCCTCTCCTTCCTCTCCCAGTTATACATACATGATCCAGAAAGCCATAATGGCATGGCACAATGGTTGTTTTTGTTATCCTGTGAGATTCTCTAAAGCCAGAGTAAACTAAGGACTAGTGACATGCAAGTCATACTACTTATCCGCTGTCTATGACAAAATCATGGAGAATTAGAATGAAGATAGGGAAAGAGATAGTTTGGGCATCTCAGCATCAAAATCACTCTCCTTCAATAGCACAGAAATCATTCTCAGGAGTCATTAAAGAATGTGGTTTGTTGGGAGCGGATATTGTCACTTATACTACGTGACATATTAACACATATACTCTGATGTACTCTCTGCACATGACAAATACCTGCCCTTCTGTGACTTTTGCAAGTATACGAACATTAACTTGTTCCACATTTCCTTTTATTGTGATAAATTATTGGCGATATGAATGCAAAGTATTTTACGAAGGATTTCTACCTACTCCTAGGTAGAACTACTGGTATTATTATTCTGGCTGTGTAAGTTATTTACACATATTGCTCATATAACATAATTCATTGCAGCTTGGTAAACATGATTTATATAAATAATTGCCAATTAATTTTCAGGGTGCGTTAAACCAACAGACTATTACGTGTATTATTTATACAGTATTTTCTTAATGTTTAATATCTTAAACTCATTCTCAAAACAAATTGCACTCTAAACTAGTTTTATTATGCTCTTCAGAAATAAAAAAAAATGCAGCTGAGAGACTATTTTGCCTGATCCATGAAATTCAGACTCAAATGTTGAATTGAATCTTAGGAATTGTTTCTGGAGCCTCCAGCACAAGTCCCCATGCCCGGAGAGGAGAGGCTCCTGTTGATACTGATGATTTTGGGTGCACTGCAGACAGTGAGAAGACAGATTCCACATTGGCTTGGAACTGACCTAAAATTTGTTCACTGAAATTACTGGTGAAATTGCCACCAATTTTGAAGGAATGGCAATTAAAGCCAAAAGCATGCCTGAAAAAAGCACCGTCTGAATATCTTGCCCTCAGCATTTCAAAGGGCACTCTACAGGGCACCAGAAGTTCTCACTATTCCTATTCTCTGTGTGCAAAAGTGTATTTTGACATGCCCAATTTCCTTCTTCCTTAGCCATCTACTGTAAAAGTGGCTTTGTTGTTTACATGCTCCAGTCTCTTAAGGGACAAGAAAGCCTTCATAATTAATCCAATGCAAATTACGATATTTTTAAAAGCTTAGGCATTGTATTTCTTGTAGACTGTCACTGCTTAGCGAGTAACATAGGGCAAATATAATCTGCCATCTTTTTAATGAGCATCACAGAGCCATCACTAGATGAGAAAAAACTTAGAAGAAACTGAAAACAAGGGCTATCTTTGCACCTCAAGCTTAAGCACCACAAGCTGCCACCTGGGTGTCAGGCA